GCAAAACATGAATGACTTCATTTATGAACCGTTTTTGTTGCTCATTGCTAGTGAGACCTAAGAACGCATTTTATTTAAAATTCTTTTATTTGTGTTTAAATTTTTCAATGATCAAGCACCAATATACTTCAGTAGTTGTTTAAAAGTTCATCATACATTACGACCAAATCTTCGCTCTGAATCAGACCCTTTTCGCCTTTCATGCCCCTTAGTTCATAGCAGATCAGGTGATCGTTCCTTTAGTGTAACAGCGGCCATAGAATGGAATAAACTCCCTACAGTTATTAAAACAACAAATAATGTTGAATCTTTTAAAAAAACTACTGAAAACATATCTTTTTTCAAAATTAACTTGAGCTTATTGCTTCAAATCATTATTCAACTCTGTAAACGCTATGATATAGTTTTCTATGAATACCGTATCTAAATACTAATACTAATACTAATACATAACTCTCACTATGTAATAGGCATATTTAATATTATCAGTACTTTCAACACACGGTGGGGTGGCATTGTCAAGCACTCTGACTTGTACCAAATAAATACTCTCTTATCTTAGTAAAGTTGATACCTTCCGACAATTTCCTATACCAGCAACTTTGGACTTTTTGAATTTGTATGCATGCCGTTTGGCTTAAGAAACGCCACCCAAATTCATAGATGAAGTCATTCGTGTTTTGGACTTTTGTTATGCATATATCAACCACCTACGTTATACAGCCACTGCCCTGCATGTACCACGTTAAAATAACAATTAGAAATAAATATAACTTGCGAGGCATGAAGTGACGTTTGCAGCAAGAATACTCATACAACAACAGAAATAAACGTTACATGGATTTGGCGAAAAATCAAATGAAAAAAACCATGTATTTTAGCAAGTATTTAAACTTGATAATGAGCGCACAACCTAATGACACTGGTATGATATACACAGTACTCACTGTCAGTGCATTGTATGATATACACAATACTTACACTATTATCATCATAAAAACATTATTATATATACTTTCGAAGAAAGCATCTTTCATAAGAATTTTGTCACTTCGGTCACCGAGTTCTTGGCAGAAAATGAACTAACTTAGCATACAAATCAACTAGGCTAGGCCAGGCTAACAATGACGAAAGACATTTCATTGTCAGTTGGTGAGAAACACTCTCTCTTTGTTACCTTCTTGGCTAGGGTAGCTCATCTGTGTAAATCTTATTTGCATCTTCACCTGAAGGTGGAATTTTCAACTTATGGCAAGATTGGCTCATTTGCATACATTCGATTTCACATTTACATGCATCTGATTTACCATGCCTTAAAAGGACAATGCAAGCCAATCTGCATTTGATTATCTGAGCTTTGTGGTGCAATACATTGGAAAGCTCCAGCAAATTTACTAATATGATAAAACAGAAATTGTGGACTTCATCTCAAACCAGGCGGAAAAAAACGGTCAGTCGCCAAGGATTTTGCTTTACACCCGGAACTCGCAAAATGTTTCGCTGAATTGGATGGAATAATTTTACTCAAGGAGGAAAATGCCCCTCCTGGCTGAGGATATTTATGTGCTGGGAAATAGCCTTGTTAACAAACTCGTTGATGTACGTCTGGCTATTAAGTCTTCAAACAATGCAATGGTGTTTTAAATGACCCTGTTAAACAGTCTGACTTGCCCTTGACAAACACTGGTGATCTCATTGAAATTTGTACAGTTTTTAAATCAAAACATGCAGTCCCTTACCAAACTGTTAAAACCTGCAGGGTGAGATTCACTCCCTTCGGAATCAAATTCTGGTTCTGGAAAACTCCACTCAACTCAATGTACAGGACACTAAATCGAAAAAGTCTGCAAATCATTTTACCAGCTGTGCAATTAATCACAAAACCCATCCGGATATCAGTACGGAACTCGACCCGTCAACCAGTCAAAAAGGGAATCTTTAATTGGTACACCAATTGTTGACGAGATCGTAAGCGTTCATCCTCTTAAAAGTTACATCCAAACTACTCTTGAAGACGACACTGCTTTTGAAATTTTGGGTCGAGAATTTTCAGATTTCAGACTTTAAAACAAAGATAGACAGAAATTGCGCAGAAAGATTTAATAATAATAATAATAATGACTTTATTTAAAAACGGAAAACTTGATCACAAAATTAAATGTTTTTCACAAGGCCATTTTTAAAGTAAATATTAACAAAATTTAACAAAAACAATTACAAGACAAAAAAAAAGCAAAAACAGAAATAAAGAAATAAAAAGAAACCAAAACAAAATATATTATTTTATGCAAGAAACTTTCAATTATTTGTTAATAGTTTTTTAAAAGTATAAACATTTGGGGCCATTCCCACATTGACGTTTAGGTTATTCCAGACAATGGCTACCTGATAGGAAAATAATCATATGAACAGTCACATCACCATGTATTTGCTGGCAGATTCCACCAGGATACAACGGAATCTGAATTACGACAACATCTACATGATATTGGAATAAACAGTGTCTTTGACACGCTTTCACATAAAAGCAGGGTTCGTCCTAGTGTCTTTCTGTATTATTGTGGATGATGGATAAAGACAAGCTTTATGATAGATTGATTTGGCCAAATGGTATTCTGATACGCAAATTTATCCAAGAAACCATGTTTCGATCAGCATCACACTGGATCACATATCTAACGGTAAACAGAACGTCAGTTACCAACAAAGGCACAGTAACTGGTAAGATGTTTATGAACATGCAGGTCGTAACTACATAGCTTAGTATAAAACCGAAAGGTCCACTGATTAATCTCAGATAAGATAGAATAATACATACTCCAAGTGTTGGGATTCAATATTTCGACATTAATTATGTCATAATCAGCAATGAAAAATTATCCATAATTGCAAGTTTATATGCACAAGTACCAAAAGTGTTTGACCAATCAAAACATTACCCCTAGTAGGTGACATAGTTATGAATAAACTTTAAAAGATCAAAGCATTCTTACCCTACTGATCAAAGCTACCTACTAAAACAAAGAAAGCTCCTTTGAAGCTTTCAGCCCATTGTTAAGCAATGGGTGTAGCCTACGTATAGCAAACGCTTCTTTAAACAATAGTATAGACCAATTTTGCGAAATGTCAATAATGTTTAAGTATTAGAAAATATTTAGCTTTGATCAGTAGGTTAAGAATACTTTGATCTTTGGTACTTGTGCATATACTGTAAGCTTGCAAATATGGATAATTTTTCATTTCATTTCATTTTCATAGTAAAAGCGTCTCTACCATATGTGGTGTTTATTTTCCTCACTTTGACTGATCTGCCGAACAAATTTAGGCTTATGTTGAAACCATTGATGTTCTCCAGTCTCTACTCAATGATCTATCGAACTACCCTGTTATGATCGTAGGGCACTTTAACACAACTCTTCCCTACAATGACATCATTGTCAAGAATTGGTACAGTATAAGACTCATCCTTTTAACGACCACAGTCTTGTTAACGATTTTTTGGGAGACAACAAACTTTTCCTTTAAGCAAGATGTTTTGTATACTTTAATTTTAAAGCTTCACATAGATCATATATCGATCATGTTATTGTTAACGAATTTTCCTTTAATAAGCAAAATGTTTTGTATACTTATTTTAAAACTTCACATCGATCTTATATAGATAATGTTATTGTTAACAAATTTTCCTTTAAGCCAGATGTTATGTATACTTATTTTAAAACTTCACATCGATCTTATATAGATAATGTTATTGTCAACAAATTTTCCTTTAAGCAAGATGTTTTGTATATACTTATTTTAAAGCTTTACATCAATCATATATCAAAATAAATTCATAAGTGTAAGCTAAATTACGGTGATTAATTTAATTAGCGAAGATATGCCAGAGACAATTATTTCGAATCCCTCCTTCCAAGAGGGGATGCAAATGCTTTGTGAAAATGAGTACGCCGCAGTACTCATTTTCACAAAGAAGTACACACAACTGGTTAGCTAACAATTATGTCAATGTTACATGAACACCTGGGAAGGAAGGTGCAATCACATTGTTACCTAGCAAACGTCTGTACTGTATGGGGGAGGGGCTCCTGATGTACTGTGTAGCGGGGTACGATGAGGCATAAGACTAGGCCTAGGCCTAACTAAGACAGTGGAATTATATGTGATAGAAAGTACACTTTCGGAAGAAATGAATTAAAATAAGAAAAAGAAAATAACTAAGAATGATTCATTTGCAGAGGTACCTTATTTAAGTATTATACAATGCAAACAATGCGGCTCTTGTAGCCCTGGCTTGCGCAAGGCATCCATGTGCAAAGCAGTGGTGTTTGTTTATCCATGAAAAAAGCACGACGGGAAAGTTTGCCTTACCAGGAAAAAGTGACGTGTCTAGCTTATGACGTATGCATGCTAACTAATGTGAGTGTGACGTCACCAAAAATGAATATTTTCTATTATAACCAAAATATTAATAACTACAAATTTTTTGGGTGTAAATTCCCTTAATATGAATGAAGGATTGTTCAATCTCCTTGCCATACAAATTACAGCTCCTACTGACGTCTGAGTCGAGAAATACGGGTAGCTGAAGTTTTTCTCGCAAATCTGACTACAAAACCATATCCAAATTTCACGTTCCACTTTTGACCCTGAGTTGTGCTTCGCATTCGCCGCTGAGGGCGGTGTTCCGGGAACCCTGCATCTAGTAGACAAGGAATGTACATTTTTTTGTTCTGATTTTTGTATTGTTTACTTCAATATAGGCATATTGCACATTCACTGTACATTTGAATTGTTTAAAATTAATTTTTTTGTGCTAGACTTTGCCAATGAATGAGGAGTTCATTTATGTGCTAAAGTTGGGTATGTGCTAATAGATGGGTTAAGTTTGTCACTGGCAGTGAATAACTGTTAAATACACAATAAAGAATGGGGGTTGTGTGCTGCTAAATTTGTCTACGATTTGTGTACTAAAAATATATATTTTTTTAATTTTACAGGTTTTATTAGAAAAAAATTGACAGTGACTTATAATGGCAATAAAATTAACTTGGTATTTCATCATAAGTATTACAGGTAAGATAATTTTGTTTATTTTGTGTTTTTTCTGCATTGATCAGTAAATTCATTTTATTATGATATCATGGTGTCTGGCCTATTGTTTTAAGTACATGATAGTAACTTTTGTATGGTGAACACCTCAGTTGGTGATAAATAAAGGTAAAGATGGTAATGATAATGATTTTTTAAGAAAAATGTATCTTTCCATCAGGATTTGAACTTGTGTACCACTTGTTTTCAAAGCCCAGTTGGTAGAGTATCTTAAAACAGTAATCATGTATTAATAAGAAGGAGCTCACCAAAAGTTGCATACACACGCGATAAGTAACTTGTCCACGCTGTGCACTGTCGGTTTGTTCTAGGCCTGGCCTCTGTCAACAGCATATCGATGTGCAATGGCAGAGGAAAGCTAATCCTAGGTAGTGGAACTAACACTCGATATAGTTTACAAATATTTCAATTTACAAATGCATTTACCCCATGGTACCAAGAGGTACGTAAAATGGACGTTTAAATGGATACGTCTGGTAAACTCTCTAATAAACTTCATTGTTTTTAATCCAAGTTTTTGGGATAGGTCGCAATCCAACCGATACTACAGCTATAAAATGCATGAGAAAATACATTTTTTGACTTGGAAATATGAAGTTTGTTAATAGGAAATCATCACATCATCAGGTTAGCGCTAAGTATAAGGGTAAACGAAAAAAAAAAGGCATCTACAATATGTTAAAGGTACCTGGGGTCAAAGGTCAGAAATTTAGGACTGCAAAGTTCGGGGTTTATAAAAAAAATGAAAATGTAGCATTAGTGATAACCTTTTTGATATTCCTCTTTTATTACTTCGCATGTTGCTTTGGCTAAAATTTGTAACTTTGAGTTCCAATTCGAGAATAAAGTGAATTTTTATATATTACTTATTACTTTTATGATTAAATGCAACTTATTATTATGAATATTACTGTTTATTAGTTTTTTTCAGCAAATGCTCTGCTGTGATTGTAACTGTTGATGACATTGTAAGTGTAGCTGAAGGCAATGAAACCAGAATAATGTGCAACATGACGCGAAGTATTTCAAGTAGTGTAGGTATTTCTACAGTAACCTGGTATAATGTCACCAATGGAGTAACTGATCAAATAGCACAATCTCAAGGTCAACTTACATTAGTACAGCCTCCATACGTCGACAGATTTAGTGTTGAAGGAGGCATGACACTAGTGATTGCTAACACCAGCCGAAGCGACAATGGCACATATCGATGTAGTGTAAATATAGTTGACGATCCTCCTCCAACTGCATTTGATGACGCCATACTGAGTGTTATATGTAAGTCAACATTGATTGCTCGATTAATTAAATGTAAAATATTTTAGTAAAACAAAACCTTTTTAGATTATGAAGTCTCACATTTTTATTTTTCCTTGTTCAATGAATACGCCACTTGAATAACAATGTTTAAATGCGGAGATTATCCAAAGAGATACAAGGTGTCAGGGTTTAAATCATCTCTCTAATTAGGAAAATTCATACTCTTTATGAGAGCATCAGACTTTGACGTACAGATAGATCTATATCTTTATTGTTGTAAAATTACATACATAGTACAATTATGAAATTTTCTTCCTTGTGAATCCAGTAGAGTAAGTCTATTCTACTGTCAATTTTGTTATGAGTACCTTCTCTGAAAGATGTCATCAGTGGACCTTGAATATGATACTAATGCATTTCATGCTAGCTTCTATTCTTTTTTGACCTTATCATCTGGGCTCACACTAACCGATTGCCAAGTCGCCCTGAGTGAAAAAATCAACAGCTTTAGCCATTTTGCCGAAGGCCTAAAATCAAAAAAGTTACTTACTAAAATACATTGATTTTTTGATTTGAGCTCCATTTATTGCTAACTCCATGCAACGGTTATTTTTACCATGTTGTATGAGTAGTCTTGCTGCAAATGTCATTGCGTGTCTTGCAGGTTTTTAATTGTTATTTTAACAAGGTAGATGCAAGACAGTGGCTGTATGATGTAGACTAATATGAAAGTACCACTAGCTTGCATTTTTCTACAGAAGTAAAACACGAGGGCCGATGCGATGTGATGGTGGTAGAAAGGGCATATCCTAATATCAATAATAATTTAATCAGTGATTTCGTGTTACCGTCTAATACGTAAAATACATTTAAATAATGATTGTAATAATTTAAGAATGTACCACGTGGGTCGCTTTGTTACACCGTATACATACTTGAGTTAGAGCAAGCAAGGCTAGACTAGCATAGGGCCTAGATCGTGTACTTTGGCCCCAAGCTAGTTTAGAATTTACTCTAATCAAGTAAACTACCGCTAGCTCCCCACCTTCGATATAGTTCAAAACTTAAAGGAAAATACTGTCTATGTTTTTCAACTTTTGTGCTAGGCCTATATATTCGGCAAACATTCAAAGTACCTCATTGGTGTGCTAAAAATATTAATTTGTTTGCCTATCAAATAACGTTACCCAGCCTGACGTTACCAATCCCTCCCCCCGCCCTGAACCTGCCAGACATATTTTCTGTTACCCTCATTGAGGCAGGGGTGGATTTAGGAGGAAACCGCCCCTCCCCTTTTTAGAAAGTAAAAAAAGGAAAAAAAATTGATTCTCCCAAAAAGTTTATTTTTAGGAGTTTGGAAAACAAAAAGTACTGTAGGACCTCCTAGAGTAGTGTTGTCTCGATCGCCACAACCCCACTCCATTCCACCCCCCCTCCCCCCATTGTACGTCTTTGGATCCCCCAGGACTCTAGTCGGCCCCTTGGTTCCGACTTCACGGTCAAACATGTTGGACCCCATGTCCTGTCAGCAAGTTTCGGCTAATGATTTTTTAAAAAGTTTTCTTTAAATTTTGGCTAAAGACAGATTTAATTGGCTAAAAAAAATTGTTGACTTCAATTGGCTAAACAAAAAAAAAATTAGAGTGAGCCCAGATCATATTTTGTTTATATTTGATAATATCTGTAAAGCTGATTGATTTTAAAGTTTTCAAAATTCCTACTGATTTTATAACAATGTTTACATATTGGATTTTCTATTTGAAATCTCAGATTTAGACAAGCCTGTATTAATATCCTTCGATACACCTGTGATGGAAGGAGATACAGTTGAGATGTCATGTATTGCAAATGCTAATCCATCACCAACGTACACATTTTTAAGGGATGGTGAAGTACAGCAATCATGGGCTTCATCTACATTCATGATTCAATCAGTGAGTCGTGTTAACAATGGCAGTTATGTGTGCAGGGCCAGTAACAGTGCTGGCACTGAAACAAGTGACAGTAGAACGCTGGATGTACAGTGTAAGTATTCTTAGTCAAAATTTGTATGGGTTTTCCTTTAACAAATCCAATTGTTTTCAACATACAGGATTTCATACTTGAATATTTCTCAAAAATATGGTAAGGAATTGAAAATTTTGTATAGGAATTTGGTTCTAACTTGTAAGTTTCCAATTATAATCTTGTTCTTTTAGTCATGTATCATGCATAGGAACATTGACGCCTGCAAGGCTCTGGTATAAGTATTCATATTATAATATTCGTATAATCACGTCTCTTAAATTTGAAATTGTGTTCTATGATGTGTTAAAAATTTGAATAAACAAACAAACAAACAAACCAGTTCAAAACTTGGTGGGGTACATTTTTTTTTTTTTTTTTTGCTTTTTTAGCCGGATAAGTGGATCACCTAACTCGTCCTTGTGACGAGTTCAAATCTAGTTTAAAATTGTTATATGTTTAATGATTTACAAGACTTGGTACTGGTAGTTTTATTGATTACTAAAAAAATAAAATTTTTATCTAATGATAAACCTTTGTAAAATATAAATCTCTTCTGTTAGATCTACCTGAATGTCCTTGCACTGATTACAAGTTCGCTAATCCTGGTGAAAACGTTACTATTGCACCAAAATGTGTAGCTAATCCTACAGATATCGATTATCAGTGGAGCAGTGTTCCTAATGTTACTGACTTAGATAGCAACGAAGCAACATTCACATTTACGGTATCAAAGGAATTTGGCACAGAGTATAATATAACAGTGATTGCTAATAATAGCATTGGATCTACAACAGAGTCGGTAATAGTCATTGTTGCAGGTAAGCTTAAGAATTTTTAGATATCAAAGTAAATTACCAGTGTATTAACTGTTAATTGATTGATAAAAGCAGTGATAAAATCATGATTATTTAACATTTTATTTCATACCGTAAAACCTTGAATTGAAGCCCAGTGGGCTTAATCTCAAGATAAAGCCCATCTCGAATTGAAGTCCCCCTTTTTAGTTTGCAAAATTAGCCTCAAAAAGAAGCCCATCTCGGGGCCTCTTTTTAAGGTAGCATAGGCTTCTTTTCAAGATAGTACATACACTGTACGTGAATTTCAAAAAACAAAATAAATTAAAAACAAGCTTGGTTTATTCAGTATTTTAGGTGAGTTAATGCCAGTTAAATACACTTCATGGTACATTTTGATGTGGGAGTGGATTTACTTATTGTTTAATAATACAAATTCACAAAATTTACAGCATTCATTTTGAAAAGAAGCCCCCCTCTTTACTTTGCAAAAGTAGGCTTGAAAAGGAGCCCATTTCGAATAGAAGGCCATCTCGAAAACATGCCCATCCAAAGTTAGCAGCAAAAAAAAGCCCAGGGCTTCAATTCGAGGTTTGCGGTAGTTGATTTGGCCTAACTGTAGTGATTGTTATAGAAGTTTAGATTTATACAATGCATAGTGCCTGGTTTGTAGTGAAAGCTGCTAGTCATTCGGAATAGTATTGTTGATAACCATTTTCCAGGCTATCCAGCCTATATATATGTATCATATAATATATAGTACATTTCATATTATATATAATATATATCTTATAATAATATATAATATCATATATATATAATATATATATATATCATATATATAATATATACATAATAATATAAATATATATATGTATATATATAATATATATATAATATATTTATTATTATTATTAATTAATTTATTATTTATTTATTTTTTATAT